ACACACACACCAAACAAACAAACAAAAAAACTTTTACCTGGGCTGGGGCTGGGGCTCAGTGGTAGAGCGTTTTGTCTAGCATGTGCGAGGCACTGGGTTCAATCCTCAGCACCATATAAGAATGAATAAATAAGAGTCTTACCCTGAAAAAGACATTATCTGGAAATGCTCTAAAATAAAATACTCATGTGTGCACAATGTTACAAAAAAAAAGAGAATGAATAAATTAGATAAAGGTAATGTTGTATCCGTTTTAAAAAACCAAACCAAACCATTTACCTAACTTCAAGTAGGCTGTATACCATTCAATGGACTTTGCCAATGGAAAAGTGGGGAAGAGCTTCAATTTAGGGGCCCCTCGTATTCTGACATTTACGGTATACAGAGCTGTCCGCGCCGCGGGAGCGAGGGGCGCAGGCCCCGCCCAGCTCGCGCGTGCGCGTGCGCGTGCGCAGGGATAAGAACCCGGGCAGACGGCGTGTGGCGGGTACAGCGGCTGGGGCGGCACGAGTAGCGGCCGGATGACGCGGGGCGGAGCACGGCGGATAGCGGCCCTGGGCCTGGGGCTTCGGCTACTGCTCAGCCTCGGGCTGGGCCTGGAGGCCGCCCCGAACCCAGCCCGAACCCGGACGTCGGCCCAAGCTCCAGGTGAGCGAGTCCCCTCAGCGCACGCCCCCGCCCCTCCTGGGGCTGCGCCCCGCCCCCGCGCACTCCGCAGCGCTTTTCCATAGGCTGCGCCGCCTGTCGGTCGTGGACACTCCCCCAGCACATGGGTTTGGATTTAGTAGTGTGCGGGGAGCGGGCACTGGTGCTTTGAGAGCCTGAATGGGGGGCCTTCCACCTGGGCGCCTCCGCCTGCCTCTAACTGCCCTGTGCACCACTTCCCTTCCCCCCATGACCTGTTCTGCTGTATTATGCCCCATTGTCACCTCTAAGCCGCCCTTCAGTCCAGCATGGTCGGGAAGACTCGTAGCAGGCACAGGTTTTCCGACCTCTAACCACGCAGGATCAGTCTCCTGGTGCTTCCACAGCAGCTGTGCTTTCCAAAAAATCTTCGTCCCGAGGCCTTGTGGCTGTTTCTTGGACAACCAGCCTCACTTTCCCATTCTCTCCTCCTCGGTTTTCTGCCTTCTGGGATGAAAGTTCTCCCTCTCCACGCATTAAGCACGGTTCACTTACGACCCCAACCTCACAAGTGGTTGGGCATGTTCGCCCATGGCCCACGTGATTCTGGGTGTCCAGAGACAGGGGACCTATCTCTGAGATCTTCAGAGGCAGCTGGAGGGTCAAAGTGGCCTCCCTGTGCTTATAGGATCCCTAACTTTCAGCTGAGAGCACAGGTTTATACCCTCCACTCTTCCATGTGGTCTCCTCTTATGGCGGACTTACCCCCAAAGTCCCTGCTTTTCAAACTAAATGTTCCTGGTTCTTTAGTGAAGCTGGGCTCATTTTAACCAAGCACTAGAACTCTACACACAAATAGCTCCTTTTCTCAGAGTGCTGAGGTAGGAACTCCCTTCTCTGACATGTGGCCCTGACCTCCACTGAGTGTCCAGTCCATGGGAGGACCATTGTTACACGTGGSAGGCAGTGCTCTGCAGGTCTTTAGCCTACCCCTTTTGTTATTTTCCTGACTGAGGCTGGGAGGGTAAATCACTGCCCTGTCCAACTTCTCTTTGATCCACTGTCCTGTACAGTGGGGCTACCCACTGCTACTTACTTTACAGAGAAATACAGTCCAGTAGGCTAGCCAAGGGAGGTCAGARCCCTCAGGGCAGTTGGTAGCTAGGCCTGGGGAGGAAGTGGCACCTGGAGGCTGCCAGATTCCTATGGGTAGGGAAAGAAGCTGGTACCTGGTTGTCCCTAGCTCTTCCAGCTCCACAGAGCTCAGGGACTGTGGCCAGAGCCCAGTTGGGCCTGGAGGCCTGGGGAGTGGGGGTTGGAGACTCAGGCCCTGGGAATRTAGGTGGAAAGGACAATAGAAGCAGGCCGAGCCGATAGAGCAAGGCCAAGCCAGGGCAGGGTATTTTTACCTCTCCTTGCTATAACCCGGAGGAAGCCTTAAGAGCCATCTCCTGTCTTTGTTTCTCAGGCTTCCTCCTGCTAGAGCAGGTCTCAGGCCCCCTTGTGCTCCTCCAGGTCAGCAAACAGCTCTAGCCTCCTGTTCAGAGTCAAGGAAGGCTCAAGTCTCATTGTACTCATCTTGGACCCTCTTGTGACCCATTGCCTGTGCATTGTCAGGGACTTCCCTGGCCTGCGTCATGAGGTCACAGCCATGACCTCTGCTGACTGTGATCTGTGGGAGGGTAGGTGTCATTGGTATAAGGACTGTTGCTTTACACGGGAGGCAGAGCTTGGTGGGTTTCTGAGGGGGACATGAGACCCCCTCCCAGGAAGGAAGCTGCTATCTGAAGGCTGTGGAAGAAATCACAGGAGTAGATTGAAGGGGTGGGGAGCTTCTGGGCCAGGGAAAAGTGTAAACAAAGACTGTGGAGCAAAAGACCAGGCCCCCTAGCCCAGCCATGCGGATGCCGGAAGAGGAGCTGATAAAGAGGACAATGTGGAGGAGTTGGATTTGATAGTGAGAGGGTCTAGGAGCCAGGGGAGTGTGGGTGACAGAATGATGTGACTCTAGTGGAGATTGGAGCCAAGGGTTTAGTGAGGARATGATGCGTTCAGGTCAGGGAAGGATTTCGGAGGTGAGGCAACAGGGCTTGCTAACAGAGCTGGTTCTCTGCCTAGGGGCTTAGTTTCCCTTTTTGCTAAGCAGGTGGAATAGAATAGACCCTGATGACCTTGACCATGAGTCTTATCTGGAACATGTGGGGGATGGCYTCTCCCTTAGTCTGTTGAACCACAGAGATTAGAGGTCTCTCTGGTAGACTGGCCATTTGGAACCTTGTAGACTCCAGGCCCTGGGTTCAAATTCTGACTCTGCCACTAGCTTTGTGGCTTTCTCTTAGGGTCCTCTATAGACTATGTATCATAGCAGTGCCCGCCCAGTAGGGCTTCAAACCCCCCACACAGTGAGTGAGCGCTTTGCAAAGGGTGGCCACCGTGTAGTTCCTGCACCCTGGGACTGGCTTGTCCCAGTGGTTGCAGCCTGTGACCCCTGGCCCTCGTGGAGAGGATTCAGACTGGGGTCTCCCAGGCGTCACTTGTGCATATCTCATAGGCCCCAGTGCAGGCTCGTGCCAGCCCACCCACTTCCAGTGCCGCAGCAGTGGCTTCTGTGTGCCCCCCACCTGGCGTTGCGATGGCGACTGGGACTGCTCAGATGGTAGCGACGAGGAGGAGTGCAGTAAGTGCCCATATCCTGGGGCAGGACTTTCAGGGGTGGGGCCTGGGAATGGAAGGTTATACTCTTGGGCAGATGGGGAGGGAGGAGAGGAGGGGTTTGAGTTTGTTAAAACTCAGGGTCTCGGGGATGGGCAGGGCTTGCAAAACCTGGTAGAGTGGAGTCTGGGTCTTGAACTGAAAAAAAGGTGGGTTTGCTGGGCTCCACTAGAGTGGCGCACACCTGTAATCCCAGCAGCTGGGGAGGCTGAGGTAGGRGGATTGCAAGTTTGAGGCCAGCCTCAGAATTTAGTGAGACCCTGTCTCAAAAAATAAAACGGGCTGGGGATGTAGCTCAGTGGTACCCCTGTGTTCAACCCCCAATACCAAGAAAAGAGAAGAGGTGGGGTCTGGGCTGGGGGCGAAGCTTAGTGAAAAAGTCCTTGCCTAGCTTGCTCAAGGCCCCAGGTTCAATCCAAGTTAGGCTTTTGGGAAGTGGATTGAGTGGGGTCTCGTGGGGAGGAACTTGCTGGGAGGCAGGACCTCGGAAGGTGGAGAGCTGACAGGAGCCAAGGGCAGAACCTTAGCGCAAGGTGGGTCTTCCTACAGCTGTTCTCAGAAGGCGGGACTTACTGGGAAGCTCTGTGCAGAATGCCGGGCTTTCTTGCATGGGTGTTTGGGACCTGACTGTGCCCTAGGGATCGAGCCGTGTACCCAGAATGGGCAGTGCCCTCCACCCCCTGGCCTCCCCTGCTCCTGTGATAACATCAGTGGTTGCTCTGGTGACACCTACAAGCACCTTCAGAACTGCAGTGGCCAGCCCTGCCCCGCAGACCATCTGCACTGCGCACAGGAGGACACCTGCATCCCACACACGTGGCGCTGCGATGGCCACTCAGACTGCATGGACTCCAGCGATGAGCTTGGCTGCGGTACATCCCCAGGACCTCGGGGCACCTGTGGGAGTGGGGAGGGCTAGGGCTGGTGAAGAGCACCTGATATCTGCTAGGGTGCTGTGACTGGCAGAGTGTGGACACGGCACTCTCCTGGGCCTCCTCCTTGGGTGCCGTGGCATTGTTAGGAGTAGCTCACCTGGTCTGGGATCAGGAGGAACCTCAAGAGGAGCCTCCGCATTCCCCGTGCTCTGGGTGTCCCCTCCGCAACTACTGAATGCCTGCTTTTATTGCAGAAACCAACAAGACTTTCCAGGGAGGGAGTGCCATAACCATGACCCCTGGGACCCTGGAGATTGTCACTTCTCTCAGGAATGCCACAGACGACTCTGCTGGGCACCAGTACAGAAGCCCAGGTGTCCACGGGGCCGTTGTTGCTGCTGGTGAGATTCTCAGCCTCCCTGCCCCTGGGCCTGTTCTGGGGGAATCGGGTCTGGGTGGGGACGGGATGCAGACCACCCAGCCCCATATGTTGGGAGCTCAGTGGCTGTGAGAGCCTGTGCCTTCCTCCCACTACCCCTCTGTCCATCTCTGTGTCCCACAGCAGTGCTGAGTGCCAGCCTGGCTGCTGCCATCCTCCTGGTAGTGATATGGCTCCGAGCCCAGGGGTATCTACCCGCCCGTGGGCTTCTGGTGGCAGTGAAGGAGTCTCTGCCGCTGTCAGAACGGAAGACCTCAGTGCTCTGAGGACATGCTCTCACACCTCGTCGCCCCTGCCTGAGTGCAGCCAGATGAGGATTGTCTGCATGGGAACATGCGGGCAGCTGCTGGGGCCCCAGCCCTCAGAGACGTGGGTGCTCCTGGCCACCTAGAACCTTGCAGACGTGGCCCAGGAGGCTGGGACACTCCCTGTGCACAGGAGGAGTTTGGATGGAGAACACGCCACAGCCAGAGACGAGGGGCTGGCCATAGCCCCTCCCAGGGCCGGGGATGGCCCTGCACCTAGACACTCCTGCCACCCTTGCTAGGGTGACGATTAAAGTTCTTCCACGTCCTCTCCCTTCCTCTGGGCCTCTGTCTTCCTGGTCTGGGCAGCCTGAGGTCTTTGTTTTACCCGTCTTCTGTGAGGTTCCMGAGAGGAGGGGATGCAGGACCTCATTCCCGGCACCCTCTCGGCCCCTCCTCCTCTCGTGGAGGCCTCGTGGAGGAAGAGCAGAGCTCAGGCAGCACCTCCCGTCTTGAGTTGCAGCCCTTCGTCCATCATGGCCTCTCCCCCTGTGAGAAGAGGCTGTGGGTGGCCCTGGCCCCAGCTCCACCCTGCTGTGAAACATGGGTTTCATTATCAGGCCTGGTGAGGCCTACGGATCAAGAAAGAAGGCCCCTGAAAAGGTCACACTCGGTGGATATGGTGGCACACGCCTGTGATCCCAGAATTGGGGAACTGAGGCAGGGGGATGGCAAGTTAGTGAAACCCAGTCTCACAGAGGGCTGGGGATGTGTCTCAGTGGTAGAGCCTGGGTTCAATCCCCAGCACCAAAAGAAAAAAAAAAAAAAAGGAAGATTCTTACAGTGGCGGTGGGGTCACAGGTACCTGTCAGGCTGCAGTCATACAGGGAAGAAGCTTCAAGTGAGGGATGTCCTTGGTCAGGAGGCAGAGAAGGCTGGAAACCTCGGGCAAAAGCCCTTATGGTGGTTTCTGTGGGAAGCAGTGGGTGAGGTAGGATAAGCAGCCCCAGGAGTGGCTAGTTCCATTCATTTTGGGAGGGTTGTGTGCCTGGGGGAGCCTGCCGGTGACTCTTCTGAGGTGTCTGGTTCTTGGCTCTGGGGTGGGGCTGGGGCACGGTGTCTGGGAGCCTAGTGAAGGGAGTGTGGCTTGCCTGTGGAAGGCAGGTTGTTTCCTGTCCTTAGGAATTAGCTAGCGCTGGGCCCGGCTGTCCCTTGCTGGGTCAGTGGGGTCTCGGGTGCCTTAGTGTTCTCTGTCATAGTTCCAGTTCCTGGACTCACTGGTGGTTCTTTTGTTYCACATAATGGTGGATTCCATGCTCTTGAGATAGGCTGGCTGAGTGTCACTTCGTGGAATGTCTTACGTGTACCCTGGGGGAAATGCTGGGACAGCCAGGTGCTCTCTGTGCTCTTCCGAACAGGCCTGCTGCACTGTCCTTGGTCCTTGGGAAATTGGGGCTTCCAAGGTGCAAAGCAGAAGTTGCTGGACCAGCAGCATTTCTGCTCTAGGGTGTTAGCTCAGCGTGTATCCTGTGAGAGTGTGGGTGAGTGGGTGTGTGAGTGTGAGATTGTGTGTGTGTGTGTGTGTGTGTGTGTGTGTGTGTGTGTGTGTGTGTACCACGTAAAGGTATGAATAGCTGCAGGCCCTGTTTGTCAGGCCCTCCTTACCAACTGCCACAGGTGGGGCAGAGGGCATGAGTGGGCGGGAACGGGGCAGGCCTGAGGTGAGTGCTCCCTGCCTGCTGGCGAGTAGCTCTGCTTTGCTGTGTGCGTGCCRTGAGCACCCTGGGATTTCAGCGCTATTTCCTCCAGCAGGGCTGTGTGCTGGCAGCTGCCCATCCTGTCCTCAGAATCGGCCTAGAGAGTCATTTCCAGGAAATCCGAGTTTAAAGTGGTGTGAGCATGGAGGGTCCTTGCATGTGGGACTCCACGTCTTGCTGGCCTGAGAGCCCAGACCTGCAGGCATCCTGCTTTCCCACTTGACCACTTGGTCTCAGCCTGCAGCCAGGACTGGGGACAAGTGCCCCACCCTCAGCGGCAGCTCAGTGGGTCCTTTCCTTCTCCTCCTCAGTAAGGAGTCCCAAATGTCCAGTCATATCACTCTGCGCCACCCGGATCCTTGTCTTGGAGCTGAGCCCTGAGTTTGCTGCCCTTTTTCTCTTTGTGCCCCATTCTGATTACTCATGCTGAGGGGAAAGGTAGCCTCGTCTCGGGCTGAACAGGATAGGGTCCCAGCAGCTCCAGTGTCCTTCCCACCCCGTGTCACGGACTGTGRTCTGGACCTCCGAGTGTGTTTCAGGGGCTACACATGGTCCAGGTGGGCATAGGTCCCGGCACCTGGTGGATGAGTGTTTGGCAAATTCCAAATGGGCTCAAGGTGCAGGAAGGGGTGGCCTGGGGGCTGGGTGGGGGGATGGGGAGGGGCGGAAGCTGTGTGTGAGTGTGTGTGTGTGTGTGTGTGAGAGAGAGAGAGTGAGTTTGAGAGGGTGTGAGTGTGAGAGTGTCCTTGTCCAGTCCTCCCCCACCCCTTTTTGTTATTGAGGAAAATTCACATAACCTAAATTAACCATTAACCATTTGGAAGTGTACAGTCCTGTGGTGCCTGGCCCACTGACAACGTTGTGCAACCATCACTCTGTCTAGATCCAGGGGATTTTCATCATCCCCAAAGGAAACCCTGTGTCCAGTAGCAGTCACTGCACATCCGCTCTCCCCAGCCCCCGAAACCACTGAGTACTTTGTCCCTGTGGGTTTGCCTGTTCTAGACGCTTCACGTGGGATGGTACCACCTGATCTGTGCTGTCCCCTCCACTGAGCATGTTTTCAGGGTTTGTTCRAGTTGCAGTGTTAGCATTTTGCTCCTTTCCACTGCTGGGCAGTATCTCAGTTTGTGTCCTGGCTGATTGTTCATTGCTTGCTAGGCTCTCTGGCTGTTTCCGCTGGCTGTGCTCATGATACAGGGGGAAAAGTTAAGGTCATGTAGCATCTGAGCTGGGATTTGAACCTCGGTAGGGCACTCTGGACCACAGTGCCCAGTTGTTCTCTCGCCCTCCCTAAGGTCAAAAGCAAGGCTGAGTGGAGCCCCACAGACCCAGAGTGCACCTGGGCTGCTTGGTGCCAGGTCCCCATGCCTTGGGTAGTGGTCAAGTGGAGACAGAGTGGTCCTTCGCCGGTGTGAGGTCCTGGTTAGACCAGGCACAGGTTCGCCAGGGCCTGCTTCCATGGTGGCATCTGGAGGCTGTGTGCTGCCTGCTGCTTCTGCCTAGGTTTGGGATCCAGCTTGTGCCGAGGCTATAGCTCAGCCTGGCTGGGATAACCTGAAATGTTAGGTGCCAGCTCCTTGGTGCTGAGCCAGAAATTTTAAGCTAACGCCTTACATTCTGACTTCTGGCAACTCTGCCCTCCCTTGGTACCTGTTATCATCCTATTGTCCCTTGTCACCATGCTTAGTCTGTTGCTCTTAGTCTGTTGCTCATCACCATTGCAGCCCCCTTCCCCAACTCCTTTGTCACTGTGGTGGCCTCCTGGAGTCACACCCCTGTCTCAGCCATACTCTCTCCCTAGTCTGTGTCACATTTTCTATAATAGTTCATAGGGACAAAAGGTAGAGACAGGAATTTCTGCGTAAACTCTTAACCTCTTCAGGATGGGATTATATTTGTAAATTTGACATTTGAAGAGGTGATTTAAGGTATGTACCAATAAAAAAAAAAAAGGTGATTAGGTTGGGGGTGTAGGTCGATAGGAGAGCATTTGCCCAGCATATTCAGTGAGGCTCTGGGTTCCATCCTCAGCAATGAAAAATGGGAAGGAGCAGAAAGAAAGAAAAGAACACATGTGTCTTAAACATTTATAGGCTTTACTTTTTCTTTTTTCGCTTGTCATTGTTCCCTGAACAACACAGTAATGCAACTGTTTGTATACCGTTTATTTTCTATTAACATAGTCATCTGGAGACGGGATGCGGGAGGATAATTGAACATTGGACTGCAAATTCTAGAGCGTTTTATTAGGGACTTGGGCACCTGCAGTTTTTGGTATCTGCAAGGCCCCTGCATCCAATCCCCAGCAGACATGACTGTATAGGGCACTGTTCTAGGTGCTCAGTACAGTCATTAACAAAATGGACCTCCAAATTTGGGAGGAAGTATTTTTGGAGGACAGAGGATATGATGGGAGGGGCCAAAGTGGGAGCTTGGAGATCAGGCAGGAAGCGCAGGAGGGGTGGAACTTGGGGGGATGACCGGGATGGTTGGATTCTGGGCCAGTTTAAAGGCAATTTGGGGGGCTGGGGATATGGCTCGAGTGGTAGCACCCTCGCCTGGCATGCGTGCGGCCCGGGTTCGATCCTCAGCACCACATACAAAAAAAAAAAAAAAAAAAAACAGATGTGTCTGTCGAAAACTAAAAAATAAATATTAAAAAGAAATTAAAGGCAATTGGGCACCAGGATTGATAGCCACCTGGGATGTGGGAGTGGAGAAGCCAGATGCAGGGGCTGAGTGAATGGCGCTGACCTTGAGGCTGGGCGGCAGAGGCCTGCCTGGGCAGGGCCCCAGTGGGTCGTGGCCCCAGTGGTCGTGGCCCTGGAAGGGGCCCCTTAGGAATCCAGCTTGGAGGGTGCTTCTTTTGAGAAAGAAACCTGATGGGGGCGACGGAGAAGGCCCTGGGTCTGGGTTGGAAACCCAAGTAAAGACAGGCGGATGTGTGTGGAGGGAGGAGAGGAGCCAGGTCTAGAGGTTTGGAAAKCGAGGAAGAAGCCAAGGGAGAAGGCGCCCAGGGGAGGACACCAGGGGAGTTCAGGAGAAGGGAAGGAGTCAAATAAGAGGGAGTGGTCGCCACCGGAGTCGCCAACTGCCAGGGGTCACGTCCAGCAGGCGGTAACGTGGGGGTCATTGGTGGCCTTGGTGATGAAGGTTTTGTTGAGGAATGTAGGTGGAGGGGTGGTGGGGAAAGCCCGGGGTGGAAGAGCTGAGCCTTCGGTGTCCCCGAGCTCCGAGGCCAGAGTGCGACCTAGGATGGGAACTATTTGGAAGTAGAATTGCATCAGTACTGAACTACTGAACGTAGACTGCGAGCGCGGTGGAAAGCCATCATCCCAGCTACTCCGGAGGCCAAATTCAAACTCAGCCTCAGCAATTTAGTGAGGTCCTGAGCAACTTAGCAAGACCCTGTCTCAAAATAAAAATAATAATGATAATAATAATGATGTTTGTGTGGACAAACGTWCTGCGCTGTCTCATGGATATTTCAGTAGTCATTTTCTTGCATGTTAGTGAGATTGACCATCCTACCCTTTAAAAAGCATAGTGATGGGTTGGAATTGTAGCTCAG